TTAGCTACTCGGAAAGGGTTAATGACCAATGATCATTATTTAGATTCTCAAATTTTTCTCCTAAATTTTGACTTGAAGTCCTAAGCGTGAGTGAATGAGTGAATCTAAGCGGTACTACAATTGATATGAGAAGCACTCTTGCTCCTCCTGATCTAGTTTTTTTCTAATCTCCTTTTTAAAGATTCAAACATTGAATCTTGAAGCTCTCTTTCTTGTTTGTTTCAATTACTAATTTTATTGATTCCTTTCTCTTTCATGTGCATTTTAAATACTAATTTTATTGATTTCCTTTTTTATCCTCTTTCAGTTTATCAGAACACTGCTACACTGAATGCTCAAAAGATTCCAAATCTTCCAGGTAATTAAAAGAGTACCCTCGTTATTTATCTTGTGAATTTTAATTACTCATATCTGTATCAAAAAAAGACAAAGGAAAGAAAAGAAAAGAGGAAAAAATTGATCGTGGCATTTAGTTGGGCATCTTTCTTATTGTGATTCTTATTGTTGAGTCTGAATGTTACAAGGTTGCCACAGTCAGAGAAAAATGGGAAATGTCAGGGAATTTTTAAAAGTCAGAGAAAATAACGACAATGTCAGGGCAAAATCCTCAAGTCACCTTTGTTTTGCTTTTTAAGAAAGGTTTGACGTTTCGAACAACCAATTTGCCTGAAAACTAACTGTAATTATGTCGTTTTAACCATCTGGCATATCTTCAATTGTCAGGGAATTTCACCAAAATGTGTCAGGGAAATGCCGGAAAATTTCATCCTCTAAATTCTGTGGCAACCCTGAATATCTTGATTTTTCTCTTACATCCGTTGCCTTGGAAATTGATTTTTTCCTGAATAACAGGCTTTTCAAAGGAAAAATTGATATTCCAGAAAAATTGGTGCATTATAGAAAAATTATAGTTATTTTTGAAAGTGGAACCCATGATTGTATAGAAAAACATGTACTGGATGCCTAACAAATTGTCCCCGCTGTATCTGATGGTAAGGTTTTGCAAGTCAAATGATATGATCTGCCCATTTACCACCATGCAAAACTGGTTCATTTCTTTTTTTGTCAGAATGAACCTAGGACATGATTTTAACCAGGTGTCTAATGGGGCTACCCTTCTCACCTTTTGCTGCAGAAGCCACGAATAAGAGAGGTTTTTTCCGTTATGTAACCATTTTCTTGGAAGATGATTTGTTGATTTGAAAATTACTTGTTTTTGGGTACCCGAAAAGAGGTTGCTTCGGAAAATTTGATTTTCTAGAAGATTGCCGAGTGATGAAGGACAAATTACTTTCCTCTCTTAATTTTGCTGTAACGAATTTTCTCCTGATTTGTGAGGGTATTAGTATTTATACGCGACTGAAAAATCTGTTGGAATTTGCAGCGGAAAATACTTTGGAACAATTCAAATTCGCATGCAATACTAAATTTATTTTCCATAATGGTTGAGCTTTATGACACTCCCTTCCTCTTCTTCAAAGCAGACGCCTAATGGGTGCCTGTCAGAAATGATCTAATTTCATTGTAACTTCACTGCCATCATTTTTCTGGTCCATTGTATTGGGTTTATGGGGCAAAGGCAATAAATCTTTATTGGAGATAAATAACCCTCCCCTTGTGACGTGACCATCTTAATATTTGATTCATTCCATTTTCATGTGATGTGTGCACCTTTTTCTTTGAAAAATGGTTCTTTCCTACTTTTGATTTGACAATAAATCACAACAGAAACTTTAATTTTCACAGGAAAAATTATTGCTTCTACAAAATTGACATTTTACTTGCGCTAAAATTTGAGTATGAAACTGATAAATTTGTGTGGATTTTATTATTAAAATTTTCAGTGTAAGCAGGCTTATTTTTTTTATTTTCTGACAGGTGCAAATGAGAAGGTTGCAAGGGCATAATTGGTCCCACCTCAGATTCCTGCAACTCCCTCACTTTTCTGACAGCACAAGATCGATATTAATCAATTATAATTGGTATGGAGCAGTGATTAGGTCCCTTCAATTAGATATTTTGCTATGAACATGGGTCTGTAGTCAGCCAAAAATGGCAATTCCTCATGGTTCTTTCAAGCTTGGTTTCACATTTTAACTGGAGGGCAAACTGGTTTCAGATTGCGATGTGCCTGTGTTGTTGTCGATAACCTAGCATGACCCACTAAGATGAATCATTTTCGTTAATCATGGACCTCCTACTGTCGTAAAATGCAGGAGTTAATAATATTCAGGGTGCCACTTATCTTAGCCCTCCCCTCGGTTTTGCTGCCAAGAAGCCAAACGGGTTTTGGGTGTTTTTCTCCCCTTTTGTTCTTCTTTCCTGTAGTAACATCCCATTTTTTCGGTCTATTCTTTGGGTCTGAGGTGCCTGCCTAAATTCAAAGCTGATGAATCATATCCTCTTATTTTTTCAGACTGGAGCATCGGCTCCGTGATTTACAATGAGGGAACCAGATGGAGCCAAGCCGACTCCATAAAACAACAAACGATGCTCCGGCAGGGCTTCGCAGGGCCGCAAGAGGAAATTCGCCCCTCTGTAGAAGGAGGGCTGAACTGTTTGGTCTGCATGGAAAACCTGGCGACGAGGTTGACAGTTCCATGCGGTCACATAACACATTGTGTTATGTGCGCATGGATCGAAGTGTCAATGCCTTGTCGTTCAGGTGTTTCAGGCAGACCAAAACCGGCATACTGTTGCAAATGCAGGACGATTGCGCAACGGTATGTCCGGGTATTTATGTAAATAGTTTTCTGATGGTATTTTTGTATTTTTCCTTATCGTATTTTGTCTGTATATTTCTTTGTATATTATTGTATTATTATTTTTTATGTCCATTTATATGCACCTAACTGTTGTAAATGTTTTTTTTTTCTATATAGTATTGTGCTCAATTATATTAAAAACATCATTTTTTTAAAATCTTTAGTTACATCATTGATTTTATTTTATGATAATTGAATCAGTGAGAACGAATACACAGCAACTGGAAAAAATGAAAATAATCAAGACACACACAAAACTGCATATTAAGTGAAGAAGTTTGTCTAAGAAAAAGATTTTTGGTGCCTAAAAGCAAGTACTTAAGGAAACTTTAGATGTCCAAGTTGGAACAGATACGGTAACTTTATGAAAATCGTTTGTCCTCAATGAAAAGTGAGCATTCTCGAGGTACCGAGTTGGTGTGTTTTCGTTCCCACTGAGTCAATTACTTTTCAGTATTATTATTGTCTTGTAGGTCATGAGCCTAGAGATTTTCCTTACAGAGGTCATAAGACAGAAAAATTTCTTGAAGAAAAGATTTTTAAAGAACTTAATTGTTGATACTGAATATCGTGTACCCAGGTGCTAAGTTTAACCCTCAAACCCATCAACAATTAAACAAATCATCAGAAGTCCATGCAATACTTATCGTAATTAGCAAATTTAAGATAAATCTCATAATATTTTCTGTCTGATGATTCTTGCTCCCTCATACCATCTGGTAAGATGGCAGAAAAAACAATAAATGCAAATGCTAAGTAACACAGTTGAAACCAATATTTTGAATCAATGGCCTCTGTGAATCCATGAGTGCCAATAAGTGCAAATATAGTTAGAGAACAGTATCCATTTTTTCCCCTAATAATATGTATACTAACCAATTTACTAAAACTTTAGATAGAGATAATATGGTAGGTAGATGATATCAAGGAGAAATCATGGGAGTTCTGTGTCCAGATAAAGAAAAAGAAACCAGATAATTTTGTGAAAGCATCGGGTGATTTTATCATAACTTCTATGAGGGTTATCTATCAGTAAGGACATGTAGTTTTCACGAATATTTGCTTCAACAACAATAAAAAGGGAAAGTGATGGAGTATTTATTGAGCCGGTCTGCCTGATGCTCCTGAACTAGACTGCGTCAGGCAGGTTTTAGAGTGAGGTTTTAGAGAGGTTCAAGAGTGTCCTTCTTTCCAGTTTATTTCAGTATCAAAGACTCAACAAATCGGAGGCACTGACGGTGAAAAAGACAGTTTCCTCTTTTAATTTTCAAACGAAAAGCAATTGTTTTGTATCCAGTGTCAGAATTGTTGACAGTTTTCAGAATTCTTCCTTTAAAAAATTGTTGTATTGCAATCGTCAGAGAGAAAATTCAAAATTAATCCTTGAGGTGGCTCATGATAATTAAACCTGATCCCCGATAGTAGGTAATATTCTGTGATTTTTTCAAGGTCCACATAGGACAATCAACAACTATCTGTTGGGAACACACTTTATCCAGAATTTTAGTTTGCAACTTTATCTTCTCTTAGATATAGGCATTACCGGTTCATTACTATCCAGTTAGTTATTTTTTGTTCAGACTACTACTTCCCGTAACTTCTCATAAATAAACGTTCTCATAAATGCTGAGTAAAGGCAATTTTTCTCGATAGAAAAATTCATTGTTTGACAGCATTCTTGAAAGAATGATTCGGGCAGATTTGACTGTTTGAAGTTTTATCCTAGAATATCTTTTGTATTGCTTAAAAAATATAGAGGGTCACAATTTTTCTTCAAGCTAAAATAATCCATGTCTCCGAAAAGTGAAAATTGAACCACTTAGAAAACCTGTCTGCTGAGGCTTCACTTGAAGGCAATGTGAAGAGCGATGAAAGGACATGAATTTTCAAATTTCGCGGTACGCCAAAATCGCCCTCTGTTGTCGCTTTGGAGAAGCTTAACTTCTATTATTTGTTGACATTGACTGTGATAAACAAAGTGATAAGGATTCTCTGGTCTGGTCACTTGACAGTCGTCCCTGATAGTGATCGATTGCTACATTTCTGTGCATTACCTTAAGTGTATGATCTTTTGACTCCTCTTCTGCGTTAAATATGTGATTGGTATTTGAACAAATCTATGAACAATAGGTATATCCTTCAGATTCAACTCTGGAAGTCAAATTTTTATCTTTCATCACACCCATCAACCCCTCTGTAAGAGTGTAATCCCACACGGATCTCCTAGGTACATTTCCAATGGAGGAATTCTGGATAGCTCCAGTTTAAAAGGTTTCTTGCACTGCACTCGAACGTCACCTTATTCTTTACTTATCACAAGCATCTGACAGTGGAACACTGCAGCACTTTTCAAAGCTCACAGTGTTTCCTCCTTCAGGCTTGTGAATTGGCATCATTATTCAGAGACATTAAGCCACCGGTGAGAGTTTTGCTCTACATGTAATGATGGTTCTGCTACACTGCTTGTTATCAATGAAGCTATTGTCCTCCCATGTGAGTTCATTCTGTTTTCCTATTCATTATCATTAAGGCATGCTTTCATTCAATTTCCAAAGATCACACATAACTTCTGTGGCTAAATGCAACAAATTTTGTTGCGTGGCGCCACGCAACAAAATTTGTTGCATTTAGCCACACTCATTTTGAATGTTTCATTTAGCCACACAGCACCCATAACTTGTGGCTAAACGAAACAATTTTTGTTGCGTGGCGCCACGAACCGTGGCTAAATGAACAGATACCGCTCACGCGAGCGTGCTGCTACAAGTGCGAACTGGACTAGATTCTGCAATTCGGAACT